TTCCTTTGTTAGTATGTTCATATGGTGAATTACACTGATTGAGTTTTGAATGTTGAATCAACCTTGCATTCTTGGAATTAAACCCCACTTAGTCATGATGAATTATTTTTACATATTGTTGGATTTGATTTCCTAAAATTTTGTTTATAATTTTTACATGTATTTTCACATGGCATGTTGCTTTGTAGTTTTCTTTTCTTTCAATGTCTTTGCCTGGTTTTGGTATCACAGTAATGCTTGCCTCATAGAGTGAGCTGGAAGGTACCACATTTTCATAAACTTTCTGGAAGAGTCTGTGTAGAACCTGCATTATTTTTTCCTTAAATGTTAGGAACAATTCACCAGTGAAGTCATCTAGGTCTGGAATTTTCTTTGTGGGAAAGTTTTTAACTATAAATTCAACTTCTGTAACAGAAATAGCGCTATTCAGAGTTTCTATCTTCTTGAGCAAGCTTTGGTAATTTGTGTCATTCATGAAAATTATCCATGTCATCTAAGTTGTCAAATTTAAAGGCATAAATTTGTTCACAATACTCCTTCATTATCCTTTTAATATCTGTAGAATCAATAGTGATGTTACCTCTTTCAGTTCTGACATTAGTAATGCATGTTTTTTCTCTATTCTTGATTAATCTGGCTAGAGGTTTTTCACTTTTACTGATCTTTGCAAAGAACCAGCTTTTGGTTTCAAAAGGAGATTTTCTCTACTATTTTTCTGTTTTTTATTTCATTGATTTATGCTGTAGTCTTGATTTATGCTCTGTTTTCTTTCCTCTGCTTACTTTGGGGTTAACTTGCTCCTTTTTTCCTAGTTTTTTAAAGTAGAAGCTGAGGTCAGTAATGAAACTTTTTTTCTTTTCTAATATAGGTATTTAGTGCTATAAATTTCCCCCTAAGCACTGCCTTAGCAGCATATCACAAATTCTGGAATGTTCTGCTTTCATTTCCATTTAGCTGAAAACACTTTCTGATGTCCCTAAATACCACCATGGGTATTTAAAAATGTGTTACTTAGTTTTCAAATATTTGGAGATTTTTCAGATAACTTTCTGCTATTGATTTTTTTTTTTTTGTGAGGAAGACTAGCCCTGAGCTAACATCCGATGCCAATCCTCCCCATTTTTCTTGAGGAAGAGTGGCCCTGAGCTAACACCTGTGCCCATCTTCCTCCACTTTGTATGGGATGCCCCTACAGCATGGCTTAACAAGCAGTGAGTCGGTGTGCATCCGGGATCTGAACCTGCAAACCCCGGGCTGCTGAAGCAGAGCGCGCACACTTAATCGCTGGTGCTGCCAGGCCAGCCCACTGCTATTGATTTTTAATTTAATGCCAATATATTAGAGAACATCCTTTGTACCACTTAAATCTTTTTAAATTTTTAAGTCATATTTTATGGTCTAACTTGGTAAATGTTCTGTATGCATGTGAAAAGAATGTATATTCTGCTGTTGTTGGAGAGTGTCAATTAGGTCAAGTTGGTTGATAGTGTTGTTCAAGTCGACTATATACTTGCTGATTTTCTGTCTACTTGTTCTTTAATCACAGAAAGGAACATTAAAAGTCTGACTATAGATAAATGTTAGATTTATTTATTTCTCCTTACTGTTTTATCATTTTTTGCTTCATGTAAGGATTGTCTGACCCCTTATCATGATGAAATTACTTTTTACTCCTGGTAATATTCTTTGTGCTGAAACATACTTTGATATTAAGATAGCCACTTCAGCTTTATTACGGCTACTGTTAGCATGGTATACCATTTTCCATTTTTTTACTTTCAACCTATTTGTTTCTTTATATTTAAAGTGTAATTTCTTGCAGGCACTATATAATTGAGTCTTGCCTTTTATCCAATGTCACAATCTCAGCCTTTTAATTGGGGTTTTTAGACCGTTGATAATTAATTTAATTATTGATATGGCTGGATTTAAAATTTTTTTTAAAATAATTTTATTTATTTATTTTTCCCCCAAAGCCCCAGTAGATAGTTGTATGTCATAGCTGCACATCCTTCTAGTTGCTGTATGTGGGATGCAGCCTCAGCATGGCTGGATAAGCGGTGCGTCAGTGCACGCCTGGGATCCAAACCCGGGCCGCCAGTAGCGGAGCGCGTGCACTTAACCGCTAAGCCACGGGGCCGGCCCATGATATGGCTGGATTTAAAACTACTATCTTGCTGTTTGTTTTCTATTATTTTAGTAATTGAGGTTTATAGTAAACATATTTAACTTATCAGTCTATCTTCAAGTAATATTATACTACTTCATGTATAAGAATCTCACACAAGTATACTTAAGATTTCTCCCTCCTCGCCTTTATGCTATTGTTATCATACATTTTTTACTTTGAAACATCTGTTATCACCTCTACAATGCGATATTATTATTATTATTGTTTATACAATTATCTTTTATAGAGATTTAAATAATAAGAAAAAACATTTTACGTATTTAACCTTATAATTACAATTTCCAGTGACTTTCATTCCTTTGTGTAGATTTGTAATTCCATCTGGTATCATTTTCTTTTCTTTTTTTTTTTAAATATATGGTTGATTTTTTTTTTTTTTTTTTTTGGTGAGGAAGATTGGCCCTGAGCTAACATCTGTGCTCATCTTCCTCCATTTTGTATGTGGGACACCTCCACAGCATGGCCCAACAAGCAGTGCACTGGTCCATGCCCAGGATTCAAACCTGCGAACGCTGGGCCACCAAAGCGGAGCATGCGAACTTAAATACTATGCCACCAGGCCAGCCCCTGGTATCATTTTCCTTCTGCTAGATGGACCTCCTTTAACATTTCTTGTAGTGAGTCTGCTGGTGATAATTCCTTCAGCTTTTATATGTCTGAAAATATCTTCATTTTTCTTTCATTTTTGGAAGATCTTTTTGCTGGGTACAGAATTCTAGGTTCACAGTTTTTCCTTTTGGTACTTTAAAGACGTTACTCAACTTTCTTCCTGTTTGCATTGTTTCTGACAAGAAAACATAATGTCATTCTTATCTTAGTTTCCCTGTATGTAAAATGTCTTTTTTCTCTGGCTGCTTTTAAGATGTTCTCTATCACTAGTTTTTTTGTCTTTTTTTGCTGAGGAAGATTTGCCCTGAGCTAACATCCATTGCCAATCTTCCTCTTTGTTTTGCTTGAGGAAGACTGTCTCTGAGCTAACATCTATGATAATCTTCCTCTATTTTGTATGTTGGTCGCCACCACAACATGACTGATGAGTGGTGTAGGTCCACGCCTGGGATCCGAACCTGTGAACCCAGGCCATTGAAGCAGAGCACACCAAACTTAACCACTATGCCACAGGACTAGCCCCCCTCTATCACTAGTTTTGAGCATTTATGATATGCCTTAGTGTAGTTTTCTTCTTGTTTCTGTTTTTTTGGATTCATTGAGCTTCTTAGATCTGTAGATTTATAGTTTTCCTCAATTTTGCAGTTTTTAGAAATTAAATCTTCAAATATTTTTTCTGTCCCTCATCTCTGTAGAGGTTCTGAGTCTATTCAATCGACTGGTTATTCTCCTCATTATTGGTTACATTTTCCTGCCTCTTTACATGCCTGGTAATCTCTGACTGGATACCAGACATTGTGAATTTTACCTGTTGGGTGCTGGATATTTTTGCATTCCCTTCTTGTGCTTGGTTCCTAGATGTAGTTGTTACTTGAAATTAGTCTGATCATTTTGAGTCTTACTTTTATGATTTGTTAGGCAGGTCCAAAGCAGTGCTCATTCTAAGGTTAATTATTTCCCACTACTGAGCAAGATCTTCCTGAGTATTTCACCTGATGCCACATGAATTAGGAGATTTTCCAGTCTAGATGATGGGATCAGACACTATTCCCAACCCTGTGTGAGTGCCAGGCTCTATTCTTTTTAATTCTTTTAGATGCTTTTTCCCTTGGCTTTGGGTAGTTCCCTCACATGCATACAGTGAACAATAGTACTTTGCTGAATACCTGAAGGAGGTTTTCTGCAAATCTCTGTGGTTTTCCTTCTGTGCAGCTCTCTCTTCTCTGGCACTCTGTCCTGCAAAATCTAGCCACCTTGGTTTCCCTGGACTCTCAGCTCGACATCCTCAAATTAGAGAGTCTGCTGGGTTCCATCTGGGTTCTTCTTCTCAAAACTCTCTTAAGGCAGTAAGCTGGGAAATCATAAGGGGCTCAACTCATTTGTTTTCCATCTCTCAGAGATCACTGTGCTTGGTTGCCTGATCTTCGGTAACTTGAAAACCATTGTTTAACATACTTTATCTTTTTTTTAATCATTTCAGGTGGGGTGTAAATTTAATACTTATTATTTCAAATGAGCAGAAGTCCTGAATTTGTACTTTTATTTAGAGTACAGACAAAATTCAAACTCAAAGTGAAATGTTGACAGTTTTAGGAAATAACCATTGAATACTAAAGGAAGGGAGATGTAAATAACTTCCTGATGTTTAGCTCTGTTGAGTAGCAGTATACTTCTTTGCTTACCAGCCTTATCATGTACTGATATAGTCAACATCATCTGTGTATTGTGTGGAGCACTTAATCCTAAGTGGGAAGCTCTGAATGACCTCTAATGAGCTCCTAAAACACTCCCGGACAGTGGGACTCAGTGCCAGTATTCTTATGAAAAGATAAGATTGTGGCAAGGGTGTTGAGTACAAAGGAACAAATACTGCTCCACTTCTAAGAACTGTCTAAGGGCTATAACTCTGTTTCCTATCTGTCTGAATTACGAGCTACAGTAAAAACTAGCTATCGTTTTCAGTAACACAGAATATTCTCAAGGAGGTGAAGAAGAAGCAAAAGGTGTTACTTGGGATGAAGTTGGGGAGAATGTCTGCTGTTAAAACTCATAGTGAGTCTTGAGTTGTATTCTTCCCATATAAGTTTATTCTGGTGCCTTCAGGTGAGAAGCCCAAGGGCTCTGACCTCGCGTTTTGCTTGTCTAAAGACCAGAAAAAAACTACTTGCCTCCCACCTACTAAATGTTGAGAATCAATTACCTGCTTGAAGCAATGGACAGGTGCTGGGACTGAACATGTTTCTTTTAGGTATTTGTCCCAGGTAAAATGACCTGTAAAGGAAACAGAAATCTCTATCACAGTCAACTTCCTAAAAAATTCTTTCAGGATGCAATCTACACCAATCATTAGGCTATTTTCAGACTGGTTTGGATCATAAGAAAACTTATTTTTCCCTGTTTGTGCTCAAAGGAGTATTAGGGGGAGAAATCTAGGTGATCTGAGTGGATCATTTTAGATCAGTGTTTTTTAATCATGGTCTAAAGATGACCTGAGGTGTTTTTCATGTTAGTCCCTAAGGTGATCCAAAATGCCAGAGCAAGATATACCAGTGTCTCAAAGAAGTACCCAGGTAGCTCATGGAAAACAGAACAGAAGAGGTAGAAAGTGGGTAAGGAGATTCCTTCTGGCAACCTTACTCCTGGAAAGGTCCCTTAATGCCATCAAACGATAGCTTTTAACACCCAGTATGGTTGGATCCCACCATCTCAGCTCAAAAAAGAATGAAGGAAAGGCTATCTAGAGACATGGAGTAAGAGGATTTGAGGGCAGAAAAAGTCAGAATGAGTGAGATTATATTTGAACTCTCACTCTAAAAACTGGTTCTCTTTCACCCACCCCTACCCCACTCCCAGCCCTGCCATTGTTGCATTGCGCTGAGGTGCAAAATGACAAAGATTTGGTAATTTAGAGAAAAGTAGGTCCTGGATAGCATTTCTGATGATAGTAACCAAAAATAAGCTGGAGAATCTACAGACTCTTTTAGCCTCTTGAAGTGGCCTTAGAGCTACTCAAAGTTTGAGGAACACTGCCCTAGAAAAGCAATCTTTTTTTTTTTTTTTTGAAGAAGATCGCCCCTGAGCTAACATCTGCCAATCCTCCTCTTTTTGCTGAGAAAGACTGGCCCTGGGCTAACATCCATGCCCATCTTCCTCCACTTTATATGGGATGCCACCACAGCATGGCTTGCCAAGCGGTGCGTCAGTGTGTTCCCGGGATCCGAACCGGGGAACCCCGGGCCGCTGCAGCGAAGCGCGCGCACTTAACCGCTTGCGCCACTGGGTCGGCCCCTAGAAAAACAATCTTTAAGGTGACATTATGCTGGGGCCAGGGAAAACATTTTAAAGGACATATCTTATTGGACCACAAAAGATTACCAGGTTCTTTATTAAAGGTTAAACCAATTACCAATCTCTCCCTAATACCCACCTAGAGGTGACCCCATGATGGAGCAGGGAAGGTCCCAGAGACTCTCACAAGCTAAAACATTGTAGCAAACCAGCATTTCTTGAAGTTTCCTCTGTGGTGGAGCAGCACAGGGCCCCTTTGGGCCATGCAAAAAGCACTAGATGCTGGGAATAAAAATGAGTCACTGAATGATGAAATCTAAATCACTTCAAAGATGATGCCAAGACTTTACACTCTATTGACTTTACAGCTTCTGTGTTAAAACTGGTCTCTTTCCCACCATCCTCAACCAAGCCAAATAGATCCGGCCAGAAATCACAGTCAGTAGGCCATTTCATGACTGGCCAATGATTAATCATCTTGAATAGACAGTTAGTCCATAGGGTAAATGAGATGGATATTTCTTTGAGTCAAGATTTAAAGAGCTCATCAGAATTTAATAGTTTGTTCTTAGCTGAGATGGCCCTGAATACTGAATACATTTCATCACTATTCGCTCTTAGAAAAAGGAAACATTACAAATTATTATTCCATTCTTATAAATAAAGGATTAAGTCAAATAATAAGTCTTGGATTTGACTAGACTGCAACTCTTGAACTCTAGCATCTGTAGCAGCACTGTTTACTAAAACTTTCTGCGATGACAGAAATGTTTTGTATCTGTGTTGTCCAGTAAGGTAGCCACTAGCCACATGTAACTACTGAACACTTGAAATGTGACTGGTATGAGGAATTAAAATTAAAATTTTATTTAATTTTAATTATTTTAAATTGAAATACCTATATGTGGCTAACGGCTACTTATTAGGCAGTTCAGGTCTGGAGGTTTGGTCAGTCCTAGGTAACTGCTTGTATTAGCTTGAGTTCTGACCACAAGCACCCAAGAGACTTTGGTTTTAAGAATTACTGTAAAATCAGGGGTACTGAAATAATTAGGATATTAATTACAGTTCTCTATTACACATATAAATTATGATAATCAATCCCTGTTATACAGGCAAGAAACCTCACATCTTCCTTCATTTAAGGAACACCTTATTACTAACTGAATGAAAAGGAATCTCTTTGTTAGAAGCAGTTCACCCATTGTGAGGGTTGACTGACTTGAACCATATCTAGATTAGTATTTTTCTTAAATTTGACTGCTTAGGCTATCTAAGGCTTAGTCCCTTATTATCAGGTGAAGTGCAAAATAAGTTAATTCTGAGCACCTAATGTAATGCCCATAATGGAGCCAAACATCATGTCTACTGTATCTCCAAGCACTAAAATAACCCCCCAAAAACAGGACAGGCAGCAAGGTATAGATCAGGGTTGGTAAACTTTCTGTAAAGAGATAGTAAAAATTTTTTGTTTTGTGAGCCATAGAGTCTTTGTCACAAAAACTCAACTCTGCATTGTAGCATGAAAACAGGTATAGACAATATGTAAATGAATGAGTATGGCTATGTTCCACTAAAACTTTATTTATAAAAACAGGCAGTGGGCTGGATTTGGCCCCCAAACACTAGTTTGCCAACTCCTGGTATATATCACTGATTCCCAAATGTTACTTATCATTAGAATCTCCTGAATAATTTTTCTCATTTCTTTAAATAGAGTTCCGGGCCCTATCTTCAGAGGTTCTCATTCAGTAGGCTCTGAGTATGGTCTGAGAATCTGTATTTTCAAAGGCTCCCTAGGTAATTCTGATTAACATCTGTGTCTAGAAACTACTGGTATAGCTGAAAGAATGACATTGGAAGTCAGAAGATGCTGGTTAAAGTCTTGTTTCTATAACTAACTGTCTTGGATAAATTACTTAATCCTTCCAAGCATCAGTTTACTCATCTGAAAGATGGAGATAATATCTATCTCACAAGATTGTATCCACACTAATTCATTCTATAAATATTTATTAAACTCGTTCCAAGTGCAGAAGCACTATGCTAAATGTTCCCCTAGGAACTAGATAGACATGGTTCCTAAATTCATGGATCTTGCAGTCTAGAGATAAGCAGAGATATTAAATAAATAATAACACAAATAATCTGGTACAATTATGATAAATTTAAGTTAATGAGGTAGTACAGGTTGCCTTGAGAATGCAGAAGAGGGAAATCTAATCCATACTTGGGATCAAGGATTATTGTGAAGATTAACATTATTAACTAATATAAGTGTAACGTTTTATAATTTACAGAGTGATTTCAATTATTCATTCAACTGATGTTTGAGTATCCTCTATGTGCCAGGCAGTATTCTAAGTGCTGGGATAAGACAGGAGGTCCTTGCCCTCATGGAATTTACATTCTGGTGCATGATGGGGCACAATAAACACATAAATAAATAAGGTAATAAGTGGTAAGTATTTCAGGGAAATAAAATAATGTGATGTGATAGATAGAGACTGGGAACTGTATTAGATGATGAAGTTATGGACCGACACTCTACAGAAGACACATTTCAGCTGAGACCTTACAGATGAGAAAAAGCCAGCCATCTCTATATTACTGAATAATGCTTATGAAAGTGTTTTACAAACTCTAAGGCACAGCACATGATAGTTACATTCATTATTAGAAAATAAGATCCCCATTCTGAAGGGACTTACAAACTACACAGAAGTACTTTTAAAAAATTAAAAGTTCCCCAAAATGGTAAAGCACAAGAGACCCACCCAGTCGAATGCATGAATCTCTTTCTCTAATATTCATTCACTCAACAAATATTTATTGTTTATCTACTACATGCCAAGCCTAGTTCTAGGCACTGGTGAGATATAGCAAAGAACAAAACAGCTGAAGTCTCTGCCCACAAGGAGCTTACATTCTAAGGGGGAAGATAGATAATAAATAAATAAACAAATAAATATATGTCAGTTGGTCCAGAGGGTAACAGAGACCCAGATAATAATTATACAATTCGTGGTCCTTTTCAAATAAAGAAAAAATAAAGCAAGGTAAGAGGGAAAGAGAGTGCTGAGAGTGTATGTACTATTTTAGGCAGGATGGTCAAGAAAGGCATCTTGATGAAGTGATATAAAAGTTGAGACCTGAATGGTCCCTCGAGCCTCTGGTAGAATACTTCCAATGATGAGAAACTCATTCAGCTATCGTTCAGTAGTACAAATGGATAGACTTTAACCTTATAGTCTGCCTTCTTCTAACCTCTACCCATTGGTCCTAGACATAATGTTTCTAATCTCTCTTTCTAAATATGTCCCAGATACCTCAACTGCTCCTGATTTGACCTGGTTATGTCAGGAACCTCCACTCATGCTGGCTACTGCTCTGGCCACATTCCTCTACAAGAACTCTACTTCATTCCACCTAAAGTGTGGAACCCAAATTCCTAAGAGCAATAAAGACAATCATAGTCTTTACACCAGAAATTCTACTCCAAGATTACTGAAAAGTGTTCTATTGTTTACATGTACCATAATTTATATAACAATATATGTTAAATACTTTTGATGATCATTTAAGTGTTTTCTTTCAAGAGTATCTTTGCACACACATCTTTTAACACTTTTAAGATTATCTCCTTAGGGCAAATTCTTCCTAAGAGTGGGATTAATGGACAAAGAGTATGCATATTTTATGTTTTGATACAATATAATTCCTACCAATAGTGCATAAGAGTATGTTTCATACACCCTTGCTAAAACTGTTTTAACAATCTCTATAATTTTGATAAGTCTTATAAGTGAAAAAACAAAATACTGTTATACTTTTATTTGCAAGTCTTTGATTACTAATAAAGTTGAAGATTTTTTTGGGCTTATTAGTCAGTTTGTATTTCATTTTTGTCATTGTTCACTGAGGTATTCTTTTGTTTTCTCACAGATTCTAAGAGTTCTTTGTAGATTAAGGATATCAGTCTTTTGTCTGTCATATATATTGAAGACATTTGTCTCAGTCTGATAGGATTTGCCCTTAAATTTCTCAGTCATTTTCTTTTATGACTTCTTGGTTTTCATATCATGCTTTCCTCACTTCAATATTGTAAAAATACTAACCCATGTTTTCTTCTAGGATTTCTCAGATTTCATTTTCTTACATTTCTATGTTTGATCTATTTGGGATTTATTCTGTGAGACAAATGAGGCAAAGATGTAGCTTTCCTTTTCACCTTTATTCAATAAATGTGCTTCAACTTCATTTATTAGATAAATCATCTTCTCCCCACTGATATGAGATGACACCTTGATCACATACTAATTTCTTATATACACTTGGATCTATTTCTGGACTCTGTATACTGTTCCTCTCATCAGTCAGTCTATTCTAGCACCAGGAGCACTTTGTTTTATGTAATTTCATAATGAATTTAAATAGAGCAAGTCCTTTTCACAAGTCACACCCTCAACTCTATGTTTTCTAGGCACTTTCAAATGATTAAGAAGTTGTGGCACATCCAGCACTAATAAAACCCAGTCATTCTAAAATGTCCAAAGCTAAGTTTATGAGATACATATTCTCAGTTCATTCTCAAAACACTGTCCATAGGCCTTGATATTTTTTAATGGATCATCTAAAGAAAAAACACCAAGCTAAAAAAAGAATTTCTGACTTTACCTCTCTTTCCAGAACAAATCCATCCATTTCCTTATCTCCTGTAACACCCTGTTCACACCTTTATTTTCATACTCTTCACATCACAGTGTCATAATTATTTACGTAAGCTCTTTACAGATAGGGGCTATCTTTTATTAATTTTTAAAATCTTCACTGTTTAACACAGACCCTGAAACTTAATGAGGCTCCATAAAAATTTAGTGAATGACGAGTGAGTAAATGAAAAGTGACTGAATGAAAAGAAGAAGCAAGTAAGTAACAGTCCTACTCTTTTCTGGACAAGTAAAATCACACCTGGGATATTAAATTTAGCTCTAGGAGCTACACTTTGAGAAGGATAGAAGAAACCAAAGCCTAAATGGTGACCTAAGTGGTGAAGGGACACATAACTATGTCACCTGAGGGCCAGCTGAAGGAACAATGAACATTTAGCATGAGTAAGAAAGCAAAGTCTTAGCGCCATTTCTTCATTTGTCCATCCAACAAATGTTTACAGCGTGTACCAAATCACTGCGCTGGGTGCTGGAGATACAACCATGATCAAAATATTGTTCTTACCCTCAGAGCTCCAGTCTAGTGAGAGACAGAGACGAAACAGGCAACCCTTATAAACTGTGGTGAGTGTTACGCTTGGAGATGGAGGGTGCTGTAGGAGCACCTACAGGGTTTGTGGAAGAATTCCCAGAGGAAGTAACTCTAAGCTTCTAAATGAAAGTTTAAAAGGATAAGCAAGAGTCAGCCAAAGAAAGAGGAAATTCTTTTTTCTGTTTCATACATAAAGGAAAACATGTATAAAGGGCCTAGAAGTGAGAAAAAGCAGTTCTAAAAATGGAATCTTTTGGTATGGCTACTGGGTGGAGTTTAAAGAAATAGTACTTTAGAAAAGAGATTGTAGATAAAAGCAGTGTTCAGGTATCAGAGAGCCTCATATACCACATTCATGAGAAGGGGAAGCATTGAAGGGTTTGGGGGAGGAGTTATTCTTCTGCATTGTGAAGAATGGATTGGAAAACTGTGAGGTTGGAGGCAGGAAGACTAGTTAGGATGCTGTTTTAATAATCTAGGTATGAGACAATGGTGGCTTGAACTAGGAAAGTAATAGAGTGGCAGTGAGAAGGCAGTCCCTAGAGCTGCTTTCTAATAACTAGAGGCCGGTATGTGAAAAATTGGCTAAACTTATTCCACATGGCCCTAAAAGTTATGACTAATAGAATTTACAAAGAAATAGACTTTGGATCAAAAAATATCTGTCTAAATATGATGTGAGTTGCCTAAGGAGGCTGTAAGTTCCCAACAACTTTGAGGAGTTCAAGACAAGACATTTTATAAGAAATTCAAAGTGTCAGATTTTGAAATGCTGGGCCAACTTATACTATTTTAAGGCCTTTTCCAAACTCTGAGATTCTAAAAATCTACTATTGAGTCTATTTCAATTTGATATTTGGGGCTGCTCTCTATGCTTGATGGCAAAATGAAATACATAGGATTAATTTATCAGAGGATATGCCTGGCTGTGCTACCTCTACTCCCACAAGGAAATTCAAATTTTCATGTCACTTTACACACTTTATGTTAAATTGAGTATCTATTTTTCAAAATTCCTTGTCAACAAGATAGGCTATTTATAACATACCTTCAGTTGTCACCAAACTATAATTGCTATCATTTATATTAGCAACAAAACCAAACACAGCAGCAGTTATCACTGAGTGCCTTCCATTTGCCTGCATCATGCTATACTATGTTCAATATCTCCCATGTTCATCATAACCTACAAAGTTGGTTTTATTCCCATTTTAAAGATGAGGAAATAGGCTGAGAAAGATTAAGTAATTGTCCTGAAGTCACAAAACTGGTAAGTGGGGAATAGGAATTCGAACCAAGGCCTATCCAATTCTGATGTCCATGTTTTTTCTAACATACACCAGTACCTTAGAAAGCTTGAGGAAAGTTTTAAGGACTAACAAAAAGTGACTATCATTTATTGTTTATCAAGTGCCAGGCCCTTTACCTGCATTATTTCATTTCATTCATTTCTTCAGCTCACATTCACAGAATGCTTCACTTCAAAGAATGTCACAAGATTTGACTTAAAGTCTGAGGATAGTCGCTGCACAGGATGAAATTAATAATCCTCCAAAGTTGAAAAGTATTTGAGAGTTTTTAAAATGTTTTCACATCCATTAGCTCATGTAATCTTCTTAATAACCCTGTTAAGTAGGCAGAATGGGATTATTATCCCCATTTTATAAGTCAGAAAACTAAGGATCAAAGTCACAAAGTTACTAAGTGGCAGAGTTGGCTTTCAAAGAACCCAGGAGTCCTGGCTCTTAGTCTAGTGTTCTACTCTTGACATTATCTTCTTGGAGGTCATTGGAAGAAAAGCCAGGAGGAAGCAAATAGATAATGATAATAGAGCTAAACACACGAAGCTGCAGTAACAAAATATATAAAAATACTCAAAAATTGATAGAAGCATCAGGATATGAGTATTCATAACATGTAGAAGGATTTTAAAGGACTCTAAGAAGTTAAGACTGATGTTTATGTAGGAACCCTGAAAGCTGACTGAGAAGTATTAATATTAGTTTTATTTCTCAAATCCTAGTTGTAAACTATACTATGCAGGGATGAAAACCAAATGCAAAACCAGTCTGACTCTTCTTATTTGATATTTTAATATTTCAGTTAAAAAATTTAGAAAATCTTTGTTTTATACATCCCATACATAATTTATTTTGGGAAAATCCCACCAAATTCTGAATTTATAGATGGTGGAGGTTTATTTTAGTTCTGGATTTAGTGAATTAAGAAGTTACTTCCAGTTTGGTTCAGTTCCCATCCTCCTCGTTCTCTAAGTAATTAACCCCTCTCCCTTTTTGTTAGCTTGGTCTGTGGCCTCCTGAGAAGGAGGGTTTGACATGACAGCTGAGATGAATTACATGGGCTCATTAGGCAAACAAGAGCACGGGATTCACAAGTTTATGAGACAGACCCATGGAACTCTTTCCCTCTTTCTAATCCCTAGCTTAGCAATTCCCCTTACTTAACAGAAACACAAGAAAAATATCTTACCTAGCTCCAGGATGTCAGTAGCTTCTATTAAAGAAAAAAATGTCACAGCATAAATCATCATGACAAACATACCAAAATGATAGAAAGGTGAAGTTCTGGGGTAAAATGAGTGCTTGAGAATTTGTCTAGCCCAATTCTCTCATTTTAAAAGATACTGAGTTTATTAGTAGTACAGTATTATGGAAGCACAGCACCCAATTCTGCCTTACTACCAAGCCTAAACTCTTAAGAACTATGGAAATCCACAGAAGCTACGCAACTGTGCCTAAAGTGATGACGCTAATTTGGGATTTTCTGTACTCAGAATCTAAGTTTCCTGGTTTCCAGCTCAAATCAAAGCATATTGCTTTAGACGGATACCTCTATAAATGACAATATTTGCTTTTGCTTTAACCAGTGAGTTCTTTGTATATTCAGACCTCTAAGAACAAAGGTTTTATGGTAAGACATGTCAAATAAAAGTTTTCCATGCCATATAGAGTTTTTTTCTTACCTTGATATTGGGATGCAGACTCTGATAGGTGACCATATTTGTGTTTTCTAACATCATTCCAGTCTATTACTGTGGGAAGAGAGAAAACAGTAATGTGGAAAGAAAATACAAGAATCGATACTTCTCCAGTTTAGCAAGATGCATCCATAGTTTTTGATAAAGTAATCCACTTTTGAGACTCTATTCTTTTTTTTTTATGAGTGTTTTTGTGTGTGTGTGTGTGTGTGTGTGAGGAAGATCAGCCCCGTGCTAACATCTGCCAATCTTCCTCTTTTATTGCTGAGGATGACTAGGCTAACATCCTAGGGCCCTAGGCTAACATCCGTGCCCATCTTCCTTCACTTTATATGGGATGCCGTCACAGCATGGCTTGCCAAGAGGTGCGTCAGTGCGCACCTGGGATCTGAACCGGCGAACCTGGGGCCGCCGCAGCGGAGCGCGTGCACTTAACTGCTTGCGCCACTGGGCCAGCCCCTGAGACTCTATTCTAAGGAAATAATCCAAAATACAGAATAAAAAGTTTCATTTTTAAAAGGTTCAGTATTGTTTGTAATACAAAAAAAGGGGGGGAGCACCTAAATGTTCAAAACAGAAGACTGATTACTGCAACACATTCACTTGACAAAGTATTTTGCAGTTGTTAAACTTTTACAAAAGCTAAACAGCAAAATGGGAAAATGTTTAAGTTATAATGTTATCTGATAAAATATGGGATCAAAAGTTATATTCATGGAATAATTACAATTATGTAAAAAATGGAAAACAAAGAACACCCTTGTTACGGGCTGAATTGTGTTCCCCCAGAATTCATGTTGAAGTCCTCACTCCACAGTACCTCAGACTGTGACTGTATTTGGAGACAGGGTTTTTAAAGAAGTAATTAGGTTAAAATGAGGTCATTAGGGTGGGCCCTAACCCAACATGACTGGGCTCCTTCTAAGAGGAAATCTGGACACAGATGCGAGAGAGGAGGATATGAAGACACAGGGAGAAGAAGGATATCTACAAGCCAAGGAGACAGGACTCAGAAAACACCAACCCCGCCAACAATGACACTTTGATTTCAGACTTCTAACTTCCAGAACTGTGAGAAAATAAATTTCTGTTGTTTAAATCACCTAGTCTGTAGTCTTTGTTATGGCAGCCCCAGCAAATGAATACAACCCTAAAACATTATCACTAGAAAAAAGACAGAAGTAAACACAGCAAATATAAACAATTGGTATATTTGGGTGGTGGTACTGCTTTTTTGTTCCCCTTTCTTTTTTCTAATCTCATATTATTTTCAAATTTTCTATAAAGAGGATATATTACTTATATAATGGAAATGTATTTTCCTCATTTGAAAATTTAGATTCATCTACTGACCCTACCACTTTCTCACCATCAAATCACTCATCATGGTTTCCCTTCTCTCCCTACCAGCTCAGATTCCATGGTCCCTCACTAAAATCACTCCCTGGCAAACACGCTTAACTCCCTCTCACCTCTTTATGGTCAAACTGGCCTAGTAAAGCCTCAATTCTAACTCTGGTTAAAGCCACTTATCCACCTATACCATGCCTACCCCAACAGTTCATGAGGGCTGAAGAAAAACAAATTGTAAGCTTACTGGTCTCACTTTAAATTCATGGCCATAATTCTGAAATGCCACTTAACACTGTCTAGAAATCACACCACATTTCCCTACCATGTTTGCTTTTCCACTTTCCAAAAAAAACAAATTCATATCCTTTTCTCTCTCCTCATACTGCAAATATTCCCTCTCTTACCTTCACTCTTAGGTGACGACATTAACTCAGGGTTCATTGAGAAAACAGAAATAAGGGATAGGAACTTCCATATGCCACTCATTTCAGGAAGGTATAGTCTTGATCTTGTTTAGTGGTATATCCCCAATGCATAGTACTGTAGCAGGTGCTCAGTTAATGTCTGGTGAATGAATGAATCTACTCATTCATCATTCTTTCAGACTTCTCTCCTGTGGCTGTGGATGAAGTGTCTCTGTTTTTATCAAAAGCCAACCATCTATTTTTTCTCCAGATCCCACTTCCTCTCATCCTCTCAAGGACTTTGCAAGCAGCCCCGTTCTAATAGATCACTTGCACCAGCATTCTTACTGTTCCATCATCTCCTATCAAAACAAACAAACACACAAAAAACCCAAACACACGCCCAACCCTCTTAATCTCACATATATCCCTCCTGCCATATCCTTCCATTTCTCTGCTCTCCTTCATGGGGAAACTTATTTTAAAGGTTGTCTATAGTCATTGCCTCCTAACTTACTCACATTATCTCCTTTTTCAAATAGGGTTTTTCTGCTCACCACTCCATTGAAATTACTCCCAAATTTACACTTCCAGCACTGGCCTCTTTTCTTGGAATTCTACGCTCACATATACAACTACAAATATAGGCCATCTCTACATGGTTATCAACCAGATATTTCAAACTTAACATGGCTAAAACAGAACGCCACCTCTTGCCAACCTCTTCCTCTTTTTGTCTTCCCCAAACCAGTAAATAACATCTCCATCACCTAGTTGCTCAAGCGAAAAATCCTGGAAATTATGCTTGATGCCTCTACTTTCTTTACACCCATATCCCATCGGTCAGTAAATTCTGTTGGACCATATCCCAAATCCATCCACTATGCTTAATCTCACCACTCACACTCTAGTTCAAGTCACCATTACCTCTTACCTGGACCATTACAACAGCCTACTAACTTGTATTCCTGCTTCTACTCTGGCCCTACTCCAACCTGTTCTTCACATAAGGGTCAGAGTGAGCATTTTAAAACAAAACAATGTCATTTATCTGCTTAAGGACCTCCAATAGCTTCCCACTGAGTGGGAAGGGTGCCTTACAAAGCTATGCAGGATCTGGCTCCTGCCACTTCTCTGATCTTGTCTGCTATGACTTTTCCCTTTTCCACTACACTCCAGTCACATTGGCCAACATCCTACTCCAAGTATTTGCCTTCTCTCCTGTTCTTTCTAGTAACCTGCCATGTTTGTTCACCTTTAAATCATTAATAAAGATTGCCAACTTGATCAGGCTTAAAAATTGCTAACAGAGACAAAAGATATTAGGATATCATAAGTGAATTTATATTTAAAATTTTTCACAATTATTTTTATAATTATAAAAAATGTATTCTTAAAAATTATATACACAATATATATTCCATTTCTTTACAGCTTTTCAGTATTATACCACTTCAGTAAAAATGAACTATCGGTATACACAAAACTAATTCAGGAAGCCACAATAAATAGAAACCACTCTGCAAGATCATTAATAAAACAATATTTAAAAGCAACCAGTGCAATTTAGAAAACAAATACGCTAGTAAAGAGAAAAAACAAAAGCCAGACTCAATGGTCACACAAAATGACTATCAAACTTAACTGAGCAGAAAGGCATCAAATAAGGTTTAACTTAAGACAACGAAAAAGGAACTTCTGAGAAGTATTTGAGGGGCTGGCCTGGTGGCGTAGTGGTTAAGTCTGCATGCTCCATTTCAGTGGCTCAGGGTCCCCAGGTTCGGATCCTGGCCACGGACCTACACACTGCTCATCAAGCGATGCTGTGGCAGCATCCCACATACAAAATGGAGGAAGATGGGCACAGATGTTAGCTCAGGGCCAATCTTCCTCAGCAAAAAGAGGAAGACTGGCAACAGATGTTAGCTCAGGGCCAATCTTCCTCACACAAAAAAAATAAGAAGAAGAAGAAATATTTGAAACTCCTGGCACAAACTAGTGGAACTTGGAAATCAGCACCCAAAGAAGAAAAGGAGACAACTACATCATAAAATGCATCAGCATAAATTACTCAGTGGATTAGGTAACTGTGCCTGTATCAATTTCTAAGTGAACAGAATACAGCATCTGATACAATTTCACACATAAAAAAAAGAGATAGTCACCTATAATTTTTCAAAGCATTCTAAGAATAATGGCCATGTTTCAGAGTATGTTATGATACGCTATGTAGCTACTATTTTTAAATAACTAGTTTTACTTTATTATCTTTCCCCAGGCAGTATATTTCTTCTCTGGTAGCCCTTATTCCAGCTAACAGTAACAAATCAGAAACCTGAAATTCTCCTTAATTGGAGGCTCTCCCTTATCCTCCAAATCCAATAGGTTATCAAATTCTGTCAGTTCTACCTCTAAAATGACCATTTTCTCTCTTCCATCTCCTCTGCTCCTAGTCTGAGTTCAAGATTTCATTATCTCTCACCTTGACCAATAAAAAGTTACTTAAGGGTCCGGTCCGGTGGTGCAAGCAGTTAGGTGCGTGCGCTCCGCTGCGGCGGCCCAGGGTTCGCCAGTTTGGATCCCAGGCGTACACCGACACAGCGCTTGGCAAGCCATGCTGTGGTGGCGTTCCACATAAAGTGGAGGAAGATGGGCATGGATTGGCTGATGTTAGCACAGGGCTGATCTTTCTCACACACACAAAAAAGTTACTTAATTCCTGTCTGATCTTACTTCTTTCAATCCACATTTTAGCATTAATTTTCTAAAATAAAGATCAGATAAAACTTGTCACCACCCCATTTAAAAGTCTTCAAAGATCAAGCCCCAAACTGTACTGAAACACAATAAACATAATAGCCATCCTCTTTCATATCCCTGGACTTTTTCTCCTTCTCTATTCGGGAGATTCCTATTTATTCATCATGGCTCAGGAAAAATGTTACTTTGGAATAGCTTTCTGGTAACATCCCCAAGCAGAGTACTATCTCTACCTCCTACTTTTATGCCTGTCCACAGAGTGTCAGAGCTAAATACTTCTAAGCCAGTCAGCAGTATTCCTAGGGCTTGGCACACAGTAAGCACGCAAAGAAATAAAGTTTGTCTGGGCCGACCCCGTGGCTTAGCGGTTGAGTGTGTGCGCTCCGCTGATGGCGGCCCGGGTTCGGATCCCAGCCGCACACCGACGCACCGCTTGTCCGGCCATGCTGAGGCCGCGTCCCACATACAGCAACTAGAAGGATGTGCAACTATGACATACAACTATCTACTGGGGCTTTGGGGGAAAAAATAAATAAAAAAAAAAAATTAAAAAAAAAAAAAGAAATAAAGTTTGTCTTTTTACCAACTCAGAAATAGTTACACAAGGAGAGAAAAATTATACATGTTAAGAAGTCAATATTTAAATGCATGCTTTCATCAAAACAATTTTGACATGGAGATTGACACTTAGATACAAAATCCACTATAGTTACATATCAATTATCCAGGTTAATGAAGAGTAACTAAAAACAGATCATCTGGGGGCCGGCCCAGTGGTGTAGTGGCTAAGTTCACGTGCTCTGCTTTGGCAGCTCGGGGTTGGTAGGTTCGAATCCCGGGCGTGGACTGATGCACCACTCATCAAGCCATGCTGTGGCGGCTTCCCACATACAAAATGGAGGAAGATGGGCACAGATGTTAGCTCAGAGCCAATCTTCCTCAGCAAAAAGAGGAAGATTGGCAATAGATGTTAGCTCAGGGCCAATCTTCCTCACCAAAAAAAAAAAACAAAAACAAAAGCAAAAATAAAACCCAGATCATCTGAAAGTGTACATGATAGAAAAGTCATTTATATATTGATTTTAGAATATATATTTTTTCCACTACAGATTTACTATTTCAATCATGCTTTACCTAGGCTAATATTAAAAATGAACTTGCTATCATTTAATGGGTACAGAGTTTCAGTTTTGCAAGATGAAAAAAGTCGTGGAGATGGAAGGTGGTAATGGTTGCACAACAATGTGAATGTACTTAATGCTGCTGAACTGTACACTTAAAAATGGTAAAATGGTAAATTTTATGTTATATATGTTTTATCACAATTTTTGAAATTAATTTTAAAAATGAACTTTTCTGGGATGTCAAGAGGCTCAGAGGTTGTCACACTGATTCCATTTCAGATTCCACTAACACCTACCGTTACCATATACCAGGCCCAATGCCAGGGATTTTGATACATATCATCTCAAGTATTATCAATATCTTTTTACAGGTGATGAATCTGGGGCTCAGAAAGTTTAACAGTGCCATGGAGCGGAAGAGTTGGTCAGGCAACAGCAATGAAAGATATTTAATAACAGTCAACAAAAGGAGTAAATCCACAAGTAAAAAATTGAATTGAGTTAATGCCCTGAATCCTGCTTACGGAGATTTACTAATTCAATGAATATTTATTGTCTGTTATTTGTCAGGCACTATTCTAGGCACTGGAGATCTATCACTGAGCAAAACAGATAAAAACTCTTGCTCTCAGAGAGCTTACATCCTACTGAGGTGGTCACCAGGGGTTTCATGAAATGTGATCTTCGAATTGGAGGCATTTGTAAAAGCACTCATTGCAGTGAAGCAGATGTCAGAGAGACTTTCTGGCAATAAGAACTATCCTGCAGAGGATGGGTTATTCATCCCCTAAAGTGTACAAGCAGAAAGGCTGGATGACCATTTATCACCAAAGATACTGAAACTTTTCTAAGCTGAGAGGGAATTCACAGGTTGGAAAGAGAGGTAACCAGAGAAACTTCTAAGATCCTATTCCACCTTGGAATTCTATTTCACTAAGCACCAAATAATATTATGAGGGTTGAGATAGTTGCAATGTCTCCGTACCTTGTGTGTGTATAAGTGTTTGAGCACATGTAGATATCCTGACTATGAACTAGTTATCAGTATGAATTATGCCTCATTCTCCTTTATATCTCATGTGTCTAGTTAAATTAAACAAATTAATGAATGTAATGTCATAGGTTTAAAGAGTAGTGGATTGCTTCCTATTAAATCTTGTTCAATTTGACATTAAGATTCCGTTTCCAACTTACTACCTTCAAAAAAAAAAAACCCTCTGAAGTCTTTGCTATTTCCAGATTGAAATTATACTCATTCACTCTTTAAACAAAAACTCATTGACTACACATAGGTTCCAGCCCTGTGCTAGGTAATGGGGTATTCAAAAAATAACAAGGCATTCACCCTTTAGTCTAGAAGAGGGAGAAAGATACATAATTAAGTATGATAAAGTATTACAGGTGCTGCATTAAAAGTATGTATGGGGGCTCAGAAGGTAGAGTTGAGGGAAGGAGACAGTTCTCCCTGGGGAGGGAATGGGAAGAAAAATTAAGACTTTATGGAAAAGATGACACTTGAATTGAGTCTTAGGGACTGAGGATGGGACAATAAAAATAAAGTATACCATTGAGAGGGAATAATGTAAAGAAAGAAATGATGCCCTGAAGCACTATGTTAGACCTGCTCTGTCCAATATGGTGGCCACTAACCATACTGAGCCCTTGAAATGTGTCTAGTGTGACTAAGGAAGTGAATATTTAATTTTTACTAATTTTAAAAACTGACATTCAGTGCAGTTATTGGGAAAACTTTAAGTATGTTTGGAACAAAACTGGGATGAGAATCTACTATTTTAACTGTAAATTTTTTTAAATCTAAATACAGATCAAGTATTTCTGATAAAATTTAGTGTCTGAATTGAGATGTGCTGTAACTATAAAACATACACCAGATTCTGAAGATTGACTATGAAAAAAGTGATATAGACTAGATTATATATTTTTATATTGGTTACATGTTAAAATAATATTTTAGATATACTAGGTTAAATAAAATGTATTATTAAAATTAATTTCTCCTGTTTCTTTTTACCTTTTTCAATGTGGCTACTGGAAAATTTAAAATTATACATGTGACTTGCATTGCATTTCTATTGGACAGTGCCATACTGGACAACCCTAGTTCAATGTGGCTAAAGCAGAAGGCATGTAGAGGGTATGATAAGAGAAGTAAAACGTGGTCAATGTGAGTGGCTATATTTTTTACTATAATGGAGAACACGGATCTACAATAAGCAAGAAGAAGCCAATGGGCAAGAAGCAGAGGTGAGGGATGGAGAAGAGAATACACTAATGGCCTAGGGGACCTTGGTTCTGGAGGCCCAGTTACATCCATACTTTTCATGAGGCTTGCTTGTTCAACCTCCCCAGTGAATAAAGAATCATAACTGTTTCAGGTATACAAATAGGAGAAAAGGCTTTAGAGAAAACATGATTTAAGTGTTGAGTGGAAGAGCAAGCTTGACTTCATCTCAGACAAGACAAATCACCCCACCTCAGTAAATCCCAAGCAAGGGATAAAAAAGGGATAAGACATCATCATCTAGAAAACTTGCTTAAACATAAAGAGATCTTATCTTTAAAGATTTCTGATAATGTTTTTAGTTTCCACAAAAGTCAAATTTTATTTAGAATCTAGACTCTGAAATTTATAGATATTTTTCTATTTAATTAAACCATTACTATTAAGAATATCACTATAAAAACAGTAAGAATGCATACCTTCCAGAAATGGCTATTAATTTACGTTTATAATGTTTATAATGCTTAAATGTTTATAATGACATTTGAGTAAGATAATATAATACAAAGTGTCCAGCATGGTGCCTAACACAGAGAACAAATTCATTAAATAATAGGTTTTTCTTTCTTTTTTAATAATAATCTCTAGTGTGGTTGTACTGTTATAGAAATATTTTTAAGTATTTAAAAAGTAAACCTTCCAACCTCCTCTCATGACCTGGAAAATTTATGCTAATGACAAAAATGACATCATGGCTAAAAGGGATAATAAATGATCTAATTAGTAATGAGGAATTCCTTAAATTCAGTCGTTGCTAAATCTCTTAATCCCTCTTACCTCCAGGAAAGGGTAAAGAGATACTTACCACTAGGCTGCATAGTCAATGAACTAAAAACTGGTCAAGGAGTTAAGAGGTTTGGGATTTATCCCTGGATCCACCAATACCTTGCTCTGACCTCTGACAAGTCAGTTTCTCTGTATGTTAATTTCTCCATCTGTAAAATGGGGGTGAGGAGGAAGGGGGACACTTATTACCCTGTAAAGTATTGAGACTTTTAACTATTAACAAATTAGGCTACATTACAAGAAAAGTAGGACAGTCAGAACAATTCTTTTTGCTTCTTAGAGTATCTCAGGGTTGGACAGTACCTTACAGCAAGTACCACAGGTTTAATTTAACTAAGCCTCAATATCCACAGAAATAAAGAAAAGATATTTGCTACATTTGATCCCATGCAAACTCTAAATATAAACATAGTTTCCAGGGCCAGTCCCGTGGCTTAGCGGTTAAGTGCGTGCGCTCCGCTGCTGGCGGCTCGGGGTTCGGATCCCGGGCGCGCACCGACGCACCGCTTCTCCGGCCATGCTGAGGCCGCGTCCCACATACAGCAACTAGAAGGATGTGCACCTATGACATACAACTATCTACTGGGGCTTTGGGGGGAAAATAAATAAATAAATAAAATCTTAAAAACAAAAAAAAATAAACATAGTTTCCAACTAACCAGTTTAAGCCAGAAAATCAAAAGATAATAAAAAGCATTAACATGTAATTTGTGTTCCCCTAAAATTCTTATGTTGAAGTCCTAATTTCCAATGTGACTGTATTTGGAGACAGGACTTTTAAGGAGGTAACTAAGGTTAAATGAGGTCATAAGGATAGGGCTTTGATCTGACAGGACTGGTGTCTTTATACAAAGAGGAAGAAACATCAGAGATCTCCCTCTCTCTGTCTCTGTCTCTTTCTCTCTCCACAAACACATACAGAGAAAAAGGCCAGGTGAGGACACAGTGAGAAGGTGCTGTCTGTAAGCCAAGGAGAGAGGCCTCACCAGAAATCAGCCCTGTTAGCATCTTGAGCATGGACTTCTAGCCTCGGGAAGTGTGAGAAAATATATGTCAGTTGTTTAAGCCATCCAGCCTGTGGTATTACGGCAGTCCAAGCAGACTAATACACATGATCACAGGACGAATGAGGCTGCAGCAATTCTTTGAGAGTACCTCATGCAACACTATACAGTGTCCAAGCTGCCCTAAAGAACTTTCACTCTTTCTTTTACCATAGTCTGATGGGTGGTAAAATAGAGCAAAACAAAAATAAAAACAAAACAAGAAATACTTAACTGGAAGTTAAAATTTTATTCTGTTTTGAATCTTAATTCTATTTTCCCTTAAAGACTTTAGGCAAGTAACTTAACTACACTGAGCCTGCTTTCTTATCAGTAAAAAGATAATGATAATCTCAAAACTACTTGCTTCATTAGGCTATTGTGAAGAACAAATGAAAAAATGGCTTTAAAAGTGCATAATACAGATAATAGGGATTATTAAGGAAAAACTTGCTGTTTACTACCTTTCTCAGAGGGAAAACTCAGATCATGAATATTACAATGTACTTACAAAAAGGACATTAGAACCTCCTGATACTAGTTAGTCCCTAAGGATTCTAATATTCACAATTTAAGTAACTACTCTAAGGAATATCTGCTAGAATTACTTCTACTTTGCCTCTTTTCCCTTTGGCTTCCTCTTACTGTTGACTGTGACCTTTAAAAATTATGCTAATGCAAAAAGAATGAAATCCTGGGCCGGCTCCGTGGCTTGGCGGTTAAGTGCGCGCGCTCTGATGCTGGCGGCCCGGGGTTCGGATCCCGGGCGGGCCCCGGGGCACCGCTTCTCCGTCCAGCGCGAGGCCGAGTCCCACGTGCAGCGGCTAGAAGGATGTGAACCTGTGACATACAGCTATCTACTGGGGCTTTGGGGGGGAAAAAAATGAATAAATTAAAAAAAAAATCTTTAAAAAAAAAAAAAGAAGGTATTTAAAAAAAAAAAAGAATGAAATCCTGCCATTTTTGACAACATGGATAGATCTAGATGGTATTATGCTAAGAGAAATAAGTCAGACAGAGAAAGAAGAATACCATATGATTTCACTTATAGGTGGAGTCTAAAAAACAAAAGAAGCAAACAAACAAAACGAAACAGAAACAGACTCATAGATACAGAGAACAAACTGGTGTTTGCCAGAGGGGAGAGGAATGATGGAAGGACAAAAAAGGTGAAGGGGATTAAGAGGTACAAACTTCCAGTTATGAAAAAATAACTGAGGATGCAATGTGCAGCATAGGGAATATAGTCGACAATACTGTAATAATTTTATATGATGACAGATGGTTACCAGTCTTATCAGGGTGATCATTTTGTAATGTATATAAATGTCAAATCACTATGTCGTACACTTGAAACTAACACAATATTGTATGTCAACCATACTTTAATTAAAAAAAATAAATCATACAAAAGAATTATGGTAATTCAATCCTCTTGGGGGAAGTGAAAGTGCCTGTATTTATTCTAAAAGACAGTAATGATACTAGGGGGTTGGAGTAAGAAGAGTAACCACACAATGGATGTCCAGGGCCCTGAAACATTACGGAAGTAGTCTCTGGAACATCCTAGAAAATATATCCTCTTTGATTTCTGAGAAAGGAGGGCAAGGGCATAGACTAGTAAAATCTAAAGCAGTGCTGTCCAACAGAACTTTCTGCAATGATAGAAATGTCCTATACCTGCATCGTCTAATGGGTAGCCACTAGCCACGTGGCTATTCAGCACTTGAAATGTGGCTAGTGTGAGTGAAGAGTTGCATTTTTAATTGTACTTAATTTTTATTAAATTTAAATAGACACAGGTGTCCAGTGGCTACTGCACTGAATAGTGCAGATCTAGAGAATGCAAAGATTTTAGCATTTCTGGAAACCTTTGAGAGAAAGACAACATGTAGTAGAAAAATCTACAAGGCTATGGAAGCATCCTTTCAAAGTGTGACAATACAAGCACACAACAGGCCATCCCTTGAAACAAGGAAAAGTAGAAAAAATTCTTTGCATATTATGATATTAAGAAAAAATTCAGTTGTAAATTATCACTTATACATTAATAATAGTAATAATGATCATTATTAACATTATATAGCTACTATTTCTCAGTGTTCACCATATACCAGATATCGTGCTAAGTAGTTTCATAACACCATCCTGTTGAATCCTCACCAGTACGATACCACTTAACATGGTCTCACTACCCTATTCTAGTAATGAGGAAACGATACTCAGAGAATAACTTTGAATAATTTTCTAAAAGGTTACAGTCAGTAGAAAAGGCAAGATATAATGCAAACTATGCTATTAACCACAATGTCACTCTCCTCAAAAAAACCCGAAAAACAAAAAACCAAACTCACAAAAAAGAAACCTTACAAATGCTTCTGTAATCGCGGGCCCTCCAGGACAAGTGCAACTGACCCGGTCTTATCAACAGAGTAATTAAGAGTGGTTCTTCAGGAACTGAGACCCTTTGTCCAGTTCAGGCCAGTTGAGACGACCAACCCATCAACTGGGCCTGCACAAATGCTCAACAAGTGACCTTTTTGACGTCAAGGAGCTAATTCACCCTCAGATCATGGTAATGCTGCCATTTTGTGAACATGTATCCTATGAAGAGGCATGAAGCTTGACTACGCTTGCACAGATCATCAATTACCTCACTTCTCCTTACCTCCAGTCATCTGTCTCCACACTTCAGACCCCATCCCATAAATATCCCTATGTCTCCATTTACAGGGAGGTGGATCTGAGATTGATTCTCCTGCCTTCTCGCTTGGCTGTCTTGTGATTAAAATTCTCTCTCTGCTGCAATCTCGTCATCTTGGCAATTGGCTTTCTGGGCGACTGGCAAAAATGAACCTGGTTCAGTTAACACTTCTAAAATAAAATAGCCCAGCTTGGGAAGAACTACAACCAGGTGTGAATGTGGATACTCTACCCAATTTACTACAGCAAAAACTGAAGCACTGATGCTTATTAGCTTGATCTGGTCACTGAATAACATTAGGTACAGTCTGGGATTTAATGAGGTAAAACTAGATTAAACGGAAGATGTCCATAGGTACTATGTTTTAAATATTCATAGAGCTTGGAAAAGGCAAAAGAAATAATGCAGGCTGACATGCACGTACCATGAAAGAGAGAAGGTAGGGAAGAAGGGAAGAAGGGATCAGGGAAGGAGGAGTGTTTCCCCCAGAAATGGAAACTGGAAAATAGAAAAAAGAAGCATCAAATGAACTTCTGAAAACCCATTAAGATAAGACAGAACTCTTTCTGTGTAATATAGCACTTGTGGTTTTAATAAACTATAATCCTATGCCAATATGCACAGAGATCAAAACGGAAAAGCTGGGAGCAGAACACCTGCCCCACTGTGGTCATGCAGGATGAGCTACAGAGGAGGCAGGAGAAAGACAGGGGACTGGTCTGGTATGTGCCACTGATTAGTCACTCTCTCTCATTAGCAAGTATTCCTAGTATCTCTCAGCTGATCCTTTGCCTCCAGCTCTCCTTCATTTACTTTACTCCATTCAGTCATAAGTGTGATGAGATGGTAATATTTCTCTGGGATGATCCCCCAGAAGAGGGGGGGAAGGGGGAGGGGAAGCAAGCTGGGCAATCACTTTCTCAAAGAAAGCAATAAATCCTGTCTTGTGCATGCAGCAGATGTGAACAAAGAAGATAGAGCAGATCTCTCCTTGGTGATCATCCCTCCCCCTACTCCCTCTGTAGCAATTATACATGTCTATGTGTGCACACAGAGAGAAGAACCCCAGAGATCATCAATATTTCCTTTAACAAGCAAAGCAGCTAGCAATGAACGGCTAATGAAAATGCAGAAAAGCCATAACATCCTTTGTCTTACAGGCCATCCTAGTAGACTTCAACTACCTACAATGTTTAGCCTTTCCAGAGGCTTACAGAGGTGTGATCCAGAGCCTAGAAGCAAACGCATTTTAGGTTCATGAAGCAAACGCTTCTGGCTCATGCTCCTTGAACAGGGAAGGAGTTTAGTGGTACTAATGGTGCCACATCATACTTCTTGGCAGACATAAATGGATTTGACATTCCAGTCAGTATCTGGAACGAAGGAGATGATAGTACTGGATGATCTGCTCTGCCAGTCAGTACACTCTGAAGGCAGATTACCCCAAGGGGGAGAACTGGGACTAGTGAGTGGAAGCTACAGGTAGACAGGCTTCAGCTCATTACTAGGAAGAACTTTCTGGCAGTCAGAGGTACCCAACAGTGGGATGAACTCTGGGGAGGGAAGGTATGAATCTGCCATCATTGAGGATGTGGAAGCAGAAATACGATAACCTCTTGGTGGAGATATTAAATCATGAGGAGGAAGAGGAAGGCTGGACTAGGTAGCCTTTAAAGGCCCTTCCAAATCTGAGATCCTATAACTTTATGGGGGTATGGAACTCCTGGTTTGGTCAATATAACACTGCACAACTTCAGGTTTGCAGCATGAACAGTGTACACATCTATACTACCAACTCTCTCTCTGAAGGCTTACAGAAGTGTGATACAGGGGCAGAAGAAATAACGTCGTTGTCATCATCATCATCTTTCCCTTCTACTTCTTCATCTTTCTTTTTACTGACTGGCTCTGTGGTAGGCACTTTACATACCTTATCTCTAATTTTTGAGAGTCTAGTTACAGCTAGGCTACTGTGAGACTCTGAGCCAGTAACATAGCATCTTTGGTTTTTAACTTTCCTCATTTGTAAAATGAAGGAGTTGAACTTCATTCATGATCTGTAAGTTCTATCATAGTGTGAGTCTATGGGGCATAGCAGCAAGGGCCCACCCCAATTATTTCCTCCATATCCACTACAACTTAACCTGGCAGATACTCTGAAATATCTTCCTTCTTTGAAATAATGAACAATGTGTGCCGCCTTTATTTTACACAGTAATATAGTCTTGAAAGGTTAAGTGTAAATGAAATTTTTTATAAAAAGTGAAGTATATTTTGAGCCAACAAAGATACCTAATTAGTCAAAAGAAATCTTTATAAAAATAAGTTCAACATCTGCTGCAAAGTAACTTGTTCCGTAAGTTCATATTTTATATATTGGATTTTCTCTTATACCACTTGGTCCTCCACTCAAGTCAACCATGTCAAAGTCACACCGGAGTCTTTTCCTTTGTGCGTGGTAATCAGTCTGTTGGTATAACACAGAATTACAGGTTTGGAAGGAATGTTAAAAGTCATTTAGTTCAATGCCTCCTCCTCCCGCTAACTTCAATTCCACCAACCCTGGCCAATGCTTGAATCTTCTGTCTAACATCCCTACCAAGTTTTTGCTTATACTTCCAGTGATGCAGGGCCACATCTCCCTAGGAAGTTCCTTCCATTCTTGGCAGTGGGTCTTGGCCTTAGGGAAGTGATTCTCAATATCTTTTCTATCTCAGTAACCATGAGGGAATCCCAGCACACTTCCATCAGTAACAGTAGTTTCATATATAACCAAACTTTTAACAGAGGTTCTCTTGAGAGAGCAAGATGGTGATGGGAGGGAAACTTTCCCTTTTCATTTGGTATACTTCTGTTGGCAAATTTTTCACAGTGCATATATTTTACTTTAATACATACATTTAGAAAAAAGTGGTCCAAGGGGGTAAATGTTTGCCACAGCAGTGATAGGGAGTTGGATGGGAAGAAGTCCCCATAGGGGAACAAAACAGAATCAGAGGGAATGGTGTGTGTTGTGATTTGACACCTCCATTGACTGTAATATACTTGGGCGCAGAGGTGGAGTTGAATTGACTGTAATCTACTTTGTGGTGGAGTTGAATGCCACCCACCACCTTGAAAATCATTGCTAATCTCTATCTCAACTGAGTATACCAGCTCTTTAGGCATTTTAAGACAGTTTTCATGTGTGCAAAGAAAGTTAACTGCTTTCTGGTCTCATCAAGGTTAAATTCAAAGACTAACTGAATAACATGTCTCACTGTATAATGTGTCTGCCTCCTTTTCCCTCCCATCCTGCCTAATCCATAGTATACTATTCTAATTGGACATTCTGCCTTCCAACACTACTCTTCTATGGTCTGCTTATTTTCTCTTTATCATGATGGGATAGCACTTCCTAATTACTCAGACTAATTACCTTACTCCAAGCGTAAGGGTATTTTTACCAAATATCCCCAGATTTACCTCCTCTATTATGAAGAACTTTGCAGTCAGATTGCCTGGGTTCAGATTTGATTCTATCACTTACTAGTTGTATAACCTTGGCCAAGTAACTTGACCCCCTATGCTTTGGTTTTCTCATCTGTAAAATAAAGACAATTACAGCAATGACCTCATAAAGTCACTGGGAGGATTACACAGGATCCATATAAAGCACTTAGAACAGGACCCAGCACATAGTAGACATTCAATCAAATTGTTTCTTCCTTCTCCTTGTCCTTCATCATCATCATCATGCCCTGCTACTACCTAGGAAACTATCTTATCAGAGTCCCAGAGTGTTTACTTAACAGTTTCTATCCATTAGATTTCTATGTTCCCTCTTTCCCAATCCAAAGCATTCTCGATATTTCATCTCTTCAACATAGTTCTCTGACACACTGGATGAAACTTTCTCACTTAGCATACCTATTACTATGGCCTGTTTTCACTGCATTATAATGCATACTCATGCTTTACCAATTTACATTCCTTTTCTTTTCATACTTCCATTCAAAAGTCATCTCCCAGAGCAGGGATTTTTTTTCTGTAAAGGGCCAAATAGTAAATATTTTCAGTTTTATGGGACATATGGTTTCTGTTGCAACTACTCAATTCTGCCATTGTAGCATGAAAGCAGTCAAAGATAACACATTAGCAACAAACATGGCTATGTTCCAATAAATCTTTACAAAAACAGGCAGCAGACAGGATTTGGCCTATGGGCCATAGTCTGCCAATGCCTGATCTAGAGGAATCCTTTCCCAAATAACTCTGCCTGGCTGTGATCATCCCACAATTCTACTTCAAGCATGTACTATATTTATTTACATATATTTGTAAGCTTCTAAGTATTTTTATGTGGTCAGTCTCCCATTTAGATACAGATTCTTTAAGGAAAGCTGTATCTAAAGCTGTTCTTTTATTCTTTAAACAAAACGTATCTAAGCCTAGGAGAAACGGGGGATGTTAAGGACACAAAGACAAATAAGTCCCAGCCTATGCTCACAAAGAACTCACAGATTAGTAGGATAGATAGCAATTCAAATACACAATCACAATATAATGCGATTTTTGCTCTAATAGAGATTTGCTATACAAAGTGTTTTGGGAAAACAGAAAGGAATGATAAACTTTGCTGGAGGAGTTGAGGAAAGCTTCACAGAGGAGATGAAGTTGAGCTAGGATTGTCAGAAGAAAGATGAATAGGTATTTTAGGCAAAGGGAATAGAGTACAAAGGTACTAAGGCATGGAAATGGACAGTGTGTTTGGATAACAGCCAGCAGTTTATTATAGACGGAAAGGGGTAGGGTAAGCTAGAGACGAATGACAGGAACTGAGTGAGATGAGAACAGAAAAGCAGCAACTTGGGAAGGGCCTCATTTGCCACACTAAGACAATGGTACATTACACATTGAGGCATTTGGTGTCATCCTGAAGACTGTTAGACATTCAATGTCAAGATCTGATTTATTAATGATATTTTACATCCATAAAGGGGTTTTAACTTCTTTTACATACATTAGTTTCAATGTTCATACAGCTTCCATACTTAAATGTCTACTAAATTCTAATACTGATTATGAACTATGTAGTGAGAAGGGTAAGAATTAGAGGCAAAGGATCTAGGACTAAATCTTGCAGTTCACAGTAACAAGATTTTGAATAAGTCTCTTAACCTCTCATTGTTTCCATAAAACAGGAATAGTAACAGTATCTACTTAATATGATAACTGTAAAGACTATATGAGATAATTATGTGAAGAGTATTTTGCAAACTATAAAGAGCTGCATTAATGACATGCAGGATTTGTTAAAATTGCAGGCTAAGTTGGCAAGAAAGGGCGAAATTCTTTTATTCACTCTAATCACTTTTTGTGACACATACATTCATACACAGCCTTACAGAGGATAACTCTCTATTTCTATTATGTATAAATACAAGTTCTGACCTTTTCGAGGATCTGATTTTTGCATGGTACCATCAGTTATGCCAAAAAGGGAATTGTTCCTCCTTAGCAAGATGGAGAAATCTAGAAGCAAAAGATAGAAAAAATTAGAAACATGAACCACTGTAGATCAAAGACGACGTGCAGTGAAATTAGGTTTTTATCAGAGGAAACCAGCAGTCTGAACACCCAGACAGGACTTCCCAAGGGCAGCAATTTGGTTATGTTTCCAATTTCCAGGATCCTTCCCTCAGCTCTGTAGGTTCAGAACTCTAATTCTGTTAAAAATAGAATAGACTTTTGAGGGCAGATCTAGAGGTCATTAAACAACGATGGATAAACTAGAACGTTAATTTAATTGAGACGTTAATTGAGAAATATAATAGCCACATGAACTAAAATATTGTACACTGAAAACAACAAAACATTGCTGAAAGAAATTAAAGACAGAAATAAATGGAAAGACATCCTGTGTTCATGAATTGGAAGACTAATACTGTTAAGATGATAATACTACCTAAAGCGACCTACAGACTCAATTCAATCCCTATTAAAATCCCAATGACATTTTTTGCAGAAATAGAAAAAGCCATTCTAAGATTTACACAGAATTTCAAAGGACCCCAAATAGCTTAAACAATCTTGAAAATGAAGAACAAGAATTCACACTTTCTGATTTCAAAACTTACCACAAAGCTACAATAATCAAAACAGTGTGGTACTGGCATAAGGACAGAATGAAATAGAATAGAGGGCCCAGAAATAAACCCTAACATATTTGGCCAAATGATTTTCGACAAAGGTGCCAAGACCAATGGGAAAAGGATACTCTTTTCAACAAATGATGCTCAGAAAACTGAATACCCACATTCAAAAGAATGAAGTTGAACCTTTACCTTACACTGCATACAAAAAATTAACTCAAAATGCATCAAAGACCTAAACATAAGAGCCAAAATTAAAAAACTCTTAGAAGAAAACACAAGGGAAAATCTTAATGACTGGATTTGGCAATGATTCTTAGATATGTCATCTAAAAAACAGAAGAAAAAACGGATAAATTGGATTTCATCAAAATGAAAAACATTTGTGCATCAAAGGACACTATCACAAGAGAGAAAAGATGACCTACAGAATGGTAGAAAATATTGGCAAATCATATATCTGATAAGGGACTAATATCTAGAATATACAAAGAACTCCTACAATTCAACAACAAAAAACCCTCAAACAACCCAATTCAAAAATGGGCAAGGGACTTGAATAGATATTTCTTGATTTATCTATACAGAGGGCCCAGAAGCTCATGAAAAGATATCCAACATCATTAACCATTAAGGAAATGCAAATCAAACTCACAATGAGATACCACTTCACACCCATTAGGATGGCTATTTTGAAAAAAAAACAAAAACAAAAAATAAGTGTTGATGAGGATATGGAGAAATTAGAACCCTTGTGAATTGCTGGTGGGAATGACAAACGGTGCAGGTGCTGTGGAAAATCTCAAAAACCAAAACATAGAATTACCATAGGATCCAGAACTCCACTCCTAGGTATACACCCAAAAGAACTGAAAGCAGGGACTGAAACAGATACTCATACATTAACATTCATAGCAGTATTATTTACAATAGCCAAAGGGGAGAAATAATCCCAAGTGCCCATCAATAAATGAACGGATAAACGAATGTGGTATATACATACAATGGAATATTATTCAGCCATAAAAAGGAATAAAATTCTGATACTTGCTACAACATGGATGAATCTTGAAAACATTATGCTCAGTGAAATAAGCAAAACACAAAAGGACAAATATTGTATGATTCTACTTACACTTGGTAACTAGAATAGGCAAATTCATAGTGATGGAAAGTAGAACAGAGATTACCAAGGATTGGGCAGAGGAGGGGAACAAAGAATTATTCAGGTACGGAGTTTCTGTTTGGAATGATGAAAAAGTTCTGGAGACAGATAGTGGTGAAGGCTACACAACATTGTAAATGTACGTAATGCCCTAAAATGGTTCATCTGTTAAATTTTATGTTATGTATATTTTACCACAAGAAAAAGAAACAGGTAACAGGCAGATCTGCATCAGGGTTTGACAGTCCCATTCAACCATCTCACAACAGGAACAAACAAAGCCTCACAGGTTCTTTCAAGAAATTAAGTCTTGAGTCATAGCATTCCCTTTCCTGGGTAATCCTACATGTAACCTGCTATCAATTTTCTTTATGATCTCTCATTTAGCATGTTTCCAAGCTATCTATCTTCTGATAAACATATCCTTTCTTTGCATAACATTACCATCTATACATAGCATGTGGTACAGATGAGCTTTGGATTTGAGTATCAACTCTGCTACTGGCTATGTAAACTTGGACAAGTTACTAAATGTCTCTGGGCCTCAATTTCTCCATCTTTAAAGTGGAAATAATAGTGTCTACTCCAAAGGGTCTCTGAGGGTTGAGTAGCGTTATCTATTTTAATGAATTAATATACATAAGTGTCTGATAGATATGGGGTACTTCCCCACCTCCCTAACTTTGTGTCATATTACGGATTACTAATGAAGTCAGCCAGTTCTCTGTCTCTTGGCTCCATCAGCATCCATGCGATCATCACCACAGCTCTCTGTGGTTGACAGGACCTTGCTACTATCTCCATCAGAAACCTTGTCTCAAAGGCCAACATCCAAAAGACCAAAAGCAAATGTAGACAAATTCATTTTCTGCCCATCTCACAAACCTCTCCCTATAGGATTCCACCTGTCCTGAGGGCAGAGACTGTCATAGGCTTATTTTACATCCCACACATTGCCTAGAAGAAAAAAAATAACTTTCTCAATTTTTAAATTGAATTTTCAACAATTCTAAGTTTTTCTCATAACAGGATCTGGCACAAATTTCCAAATAAACAAGTTCTATTTCTATACTTGTACAAAAACAATAAGGTAAAAACAGTAAGTATGATTCTTTTTCAGTGATAAGAACTCAAGCAAAATATATAAGGTGTTACAGGATGTGACAGTGACCATTTGAAAGCCTGCTACACTAGAACTGGCTTATATTAAAAGTGCCAGAAATAACAGAATAATCCAATATCCCACCATGAAAAAAATTCAATAATGAAGTTGATCTGATATTAGAAAAAATATATTACACAAATAAGAAAAATCTCCATTTAATCTCCACTTAAAAAACAAAACATCAAATCATGTAATAATCACAGAACAGCATCAAATCAAAATTCATATACCCGGGGCCGGCCCCGTGGCTTAGCGGTTAAGTGCACACGCTCCGTTACTGGCGGCCCGGGTTTGGATCCTGGGTGTGCACCAACGCACCGCTTCTCCGGCCATGCTGAGGCCGCATCCCACATACAGCAACTAGAAGGATGTGCAACTATGACATGCAACTGTCTACTGGGGCTTTGGGGAAAAAAAAGGAGGAGGATTGGCAACAGATGTTAGCTCAGAGCCGGTCTTCCTCAGCAAAAAAGAGGAGAACTGGCAGGGATGTTAGCTCAGGGCTGATCTTCCTCACACACACACAAAAAAATTCATATACCTGATTTACTCCTAGATCACAGTGGTCAGACATTCAATTTCACCTTGTCTGATCTAAACTCCTTCAACTACACCAATTAGGATTACCATCAGTATATATTTTTTGAACAAGCCTTGGTATAAAACTAGAATTAAGAGACAGAGAACCAAAGGACAAAGAAACTGAAAGGTTACAAGGAAAAGAGGCTAGGATCATTTTGTTAAATAGACTTTCACATTGTTAACTTACGGAACCATCATAGGAGAAGGGAACCAACTATGTGTTAGGTTCTGTGCTAACCACTTTAAAAACAACTTTTTTGCTAAAGTTTAATATACATACTGGAAAGCACACAAATCCTAAGTATGAAGCTCAATGAGCTTTTACAGTGTGTCTCCAAACCAAGAAAGAGATCATTACTAGCATCCAAAGTACTCCTTTATGTCCTCTCCCAGTCATTACTCCACCCAAGAGTAAACAGTCTTTTTTTTTTTTAATTTTATTTATTTTTTCCCTCAAAGCCCCAGTAGATAGTTGTAAGTCATAGCTGCACATCCTTCTAGCTGCTGTATGTGGGACGCGGCCTCAGCATGGCCGGAGAAGCGGTGCATCAGTGCGCGCCCGGGATCCGAATCCGGGCCGCCAGCAGCTGAGCGCGCTCTTAACCGCTAAGCCATGGGGCCGGCCAAACACTGTCTTGACTTCTATCATCATAGATTAGTTTTGCCTGTTTTGAACTTTATATAAATAAAATTATATTGAATGCACTCTTTTATGTCCACTTCCTTCCACTCAACATTTTGTTTGTGAGATTCACCCATGGTGCCCCTACTAGACACTTTTATCTTCATTACTCGATTTAAAGCACCTAACAATTCTGGCATTTCCCATTTAGGTTAAAAAAAAATCTATGGTTCTGAATTTAAATAAGGTTAATTAAGGCATTGAAAGTCACACAGCTACTAAATGGAAAGGCTAAAATTAAAGTTTGTCTAATTTCAAGGTCCATGCTCTTTTTGGTTCCATTACGATAGCTTACCATAGTTTAAAAACAACAAGAAGTCCATCCCTTCCCTCGTTTACTTATCACAGGCCATACACAGTATAGAGGCTTGGCAAACAGTCCAGTACTATGCAAATGTAAGAAATTATTATTAGCACAAGAAAGGAGCTACCAAGAGCAGTGGCTTTCAAACCTTTTTTGGTTGTGACCCAAAGACTTAAATCCAGGCTTTTTTACAATATGCATTCCTGAAAACCTGACATTCTGTAAAAATTATGTATTAAAAATGGGCTTGTGGGGAAAATAGAGTTAGGAATAGACTACCAAAAGCCCAAGGAACTTTGTGTCCTTTACACACACGTACACATTCACACATACCCCACAAGGTTCTGAGTCATTAAGAAAAGGTTATATTAGGGTCAACAAACTGAATTAAAAAGGAAGAAGGGTGCAATCCATTTTAGAATAATTTCCAACTAAAATGACTTTTTAAAATAAAGTTTTAATGTGTAATGGAACAAACCTGTAG